GAGCCAATCAAAACAGAATTAAAAATAACTAAATCCTGGATATTCCCCTCAGTAAGCAGGCTGCAAAAAGAACCAGACAATAGTTTTAAAAGCCTAAATTGAAAACTAATCACTCCATTGAATCCTTCCTTTCATTTGGTTAATAGGCATATACAAAAGTAGCGGTGATTCTACCACTGCCGTGCTTGGAACATAAACAGAGAAAATCAAAGTTATTTCTTTTAATCACAATTCCGCAGCGATGTATGGCAATTTTTTTAACCCGTTCAGCACTTCTACAATAACATCGGCTTTTCAGATCTAATAGAGAAGGTGAATTTAGGTAAGTACCAACTCAAAAAAATTCAAGAGAAACTAATACATGTGAGTGGGGGGAAAAAATCAGGACCACACACAAGGCAGCATTAAAAACTGTCTTTACCTGCAACTAGTTGGTAGCAATAGGGTTCCTAGTGACAAACTAACACACACAAACTGCTCCAATACTCCCCTCGTGGAGTACAGCAGCGGCACAGCACTGGAGTATACTCGGATGGAGGGGGGATGACCGAGGGAGTTCTACAAGAAGCCTCAACAGGGAACACTCAAAGTATCCGGGACTGATCCAAAGATATATCCATATTCCTCAACTCTACCTGAAACGCCCTTTCTCCGTCAATTAAGAAATCTTTATTTTCTGATCTTTGTTCTGTCTTTAGGCCTTTATGACACCATAAATACGGAAAATACCTGATGCAAGCTAAATTTCTAGATGTTTCAAAGAAGAAATGCGTAACATATATATTCGTATCACACAAATGTCGTACAACTTTCCACACTTCAAAATACTCTTTCATATACCAAGCACCTGTATGTCTACAGACATGTGAACCAACTATTAAAACAAAACAGGATATCTGAGTGGATAAAGAGTAAGAACTGGGTAAGCAGACAACACTATTCTGGAGAAAAGATCATCCAGGTATAGGAACTGCTCTTCAGAAGTACACAGAAACAGGATTCACTGTGCAATGAGAAACACAGGAGCAGTCAGACCAGAGCAAAAGAATATTGTAGCAGCTATGTACAAGTTTAAACACTAATTTCTATAAAAGTCAAAAATTGCGGCAATCACAGAAAATAGCTCATAGCCCACTGAAAGGAAAGGAAGCTAAACTGCTGGAAAGGAAACCATCTTAGCCAGCTCTATTAAAAACACATAATACACCAGAGTAATCTCGTCAATACCAATCAGTTGGTACCACTGGGGAAGGAGTGGGGGGTGAGCTGTGCGGCAGCACAACTTCACTTGCAAGGCATTTAAACGAAACTAAGTAACCCAATTCACATAAACGGAAAGTTAAAAGATCATAGAGAATGAAGTTAAATCCTGTCTAGACTGGGAAAGAGTATAAACAGTTATTGCTCAAAGTGCTGAGTGTTACGTGAAGAGACTACGGCCTCCAGAGTAGTCCCA